TTTTTTTGGTTGATTTTTGAGGCAGGCTCTAGCTATGTAGTTCAGGCTGGTCTTGAACTTGTTTATGTAGGTAGCTAAAGCTGGCCTGAAACTCATGGATCCTCCTGCCCCAGCCGCCCCACTCAGGATTACAGCGTTACCACCACACCCAGCTCTGCATATACTTGTTTGAACTCCCACTTTCTGCATTGAGCTACCTCCCCAAGCCCCTACTTATATGTATTTTTTTTGGTATCACTTTCATTTTGCTACTTTGTTTTCTTCTCCAACTACCTCTTTTGCAATAATCATTTCGAGGGCAGGAAGAGCATCTTTTCTGTCTTTCAAGCAGTTGTTCTAGTGCAGTGCTTTATCATGGTAGTACAGTAAATTGCTGACTATTATTTGCAATTGGAAAATATGTTCCATTTTGTTGACTAAATAGAGAGAGAAAGAGGAAGAAGAAAGGAGCAAAAAGTTTGAGTGTAAGTGAGGACCACAGGGGGTTCTAGACTGACGGGAGCATGGCCCATAATTTAGGCTGGCCTGCTGCATTCTCAGAGATTAGCTGTATGCTATGAGTAGCCAAGCAGTGCCTGATAACTTAGCTATTTGCAACTGTAACTTACCACTTCCTCAACAGGCTTCAAATCATCATTCATAGACACGACTCGAAACAACACTGAAGAAGGAAATAGACATGTTATAAAGATGCGTTTATCTTTTGTGTCATTACAGCTCTCTTACTAAATATATTATCCTAGGCAAGACAGATATTGCAATTGGTGACAGCAATGACACACATATCTGATAGAATGTATTGATGCAGTGGTTACTGTAACAGGTGGGTTAGGCTGCCAAGAAAATACTCATTGCAAGAACTTTTTGTCATGGTTTTACTTGATTTGCAGGTTCTCCTTCTACAAATCATCATGAGATGTGTCCATGGCAACCTAATCACTTTATTGAAGTAGGAACAGAAGGAGAGGCAGGGAGGTAATTAGCTTTCAAAGCAGTTCTCCCATCCAAGTACTAAGCAGGCCTGACCCTGCTTAGCTTCCGAGATCAGACGAGATAGGGCGCAATCAGGGTGGTATGGCCGAAGACTCAAAGCAATTCATCAGAGATGTTCCATGCGCCCCTCATTCTACGTGTCTGCCCTTCACTCTTCAACCAAAGCCCCTCCTCCCCCATTTTTCACTGTCAGGGTCTGCAGTCATCTTGACCTTCACGCTCCCCTTATTTTCTAGCTATGCCCCTACCTCTGGGTCAGTTCTCAGCCAGGTGGCTTTTGTCAAGTCCTTGTAACTGCCTGTTAGAAAAATTAATTCTCTTGTGAAGATTCCCTGTGCCTCCATTTTTTTTCAGAGAAATTTCTCCATCTCTTTTGTGCTCCGAGACTCTATTAGTGACTGTGTACATCCTAATGACCCAACATTTTCTTTGCACTTTCATTGAAATAAATTTTGATTTATATGTCATGAACTCTTGAAAGCCTATGCAAGTAGTTGTCTTAATTGTATTATAGATAGAGTTTCACGAAGCTAATGGTGTTGTTTTCCACCAGTTAAAAATCTCATGAGTCATTTTCACATATTCCATGCTAGGGGGTGCTTTAATTTTCCTTTAAAAGACTAAAAAAAATATTAAAATTTGTCATCACACCACAGCTATTACACTTTGGGAGAAAAAGTCACCAACTAGAGGTACTACTCCATGTCACCTTCTATGTACATATATTTGCCAGCCCTTAATGTCTGCTTTTTAGAATCTTATAATGTTCATCTTTGTGAATCTCACTTTTCCAGATTATTGAGCCTCTCTTAGCTTCCATTTATTTATTCGTATATTAATTGAAAAACCAGCTGGGCACGGTGGTGCAGGCCTGCACTCAGGAGGCTGAAGCAGGGAGATGACTGTGAGTTCAAGACCAGCCTAGGCTACAAAGTGAGCTCATGGCCAGCCTGAGTTGCAAAGTGAGACCCTGTGTCCAAAGGACAAAAACAAAACATCTTTATTAAGAATCCATTTTCTCATTCTATTTATATGTGTGTGCATGTGTGATGTCAAATGGTAAAAAGTAGAAGCCTGGTCTCAGAATATATGGAGAGAGTGACAGAATGACTGAGGAATCTAGATCTCCACCAATCTCATGGCTTTCAAGCTGTCCTTCACGTGAGTGTTTCCCCAGGTACATATCGCCAAATGTCCATCCTAAATAAGGACTCATAAATATTTCCTCTTATTTGACAAGACAAATGTTTACGAAACAGTTCATACTTCCTGTGCCTAAAAATGCACTCTTTGCTCTTTTAAGCTTCCTCTTGTTCTACGAGGTGCCATTTTATTAGTCTATTTTTGTCATTACAGGTGTTCACGTTAGAGACACTGGACTCCTAATCTTCCCCCTGTCTCTACCTCAAAAATATTGCACTTGCTGACTCTCTTGCTCAGAGTCACTTTCCTCTCATGCACTGTGCATGTTCACTTTCTTCACATCTCTGCTTCGTTATCTTGAAACTTTATTTTCCTGTGATCCGAATCTACCCACTCTTCTAGTGCTGTCATTTAAAATTTTTTTTTCCTTCACTCCAATTCATAATCCTCTCATTTAACCTCCTGCAGCAGCTTTTTACTGGATCTGTTGTCGTGGCCTAGATACTCCTGTGATCAGCAGATAGAGGATTAAACTTGATCTTGTCTTTTCTCTGATTAAAACTTTTAAAACATTGCACAAGGCAGTATCTTAGTAACTTGGTAACCAACACATCACTTTCCAGAAAGTCCCAGCCTGACTGTCCCTGCAGCCTTTCACTCAACCACTCCTGGTGGTGCCATCTAAGCTGCCACGGCACCCATTCCACCATTCTATCTTCACCTGTTTCATGCGTACTGCTGTGATAATGTCAGCCTTTTTCTACCTATTTGAGGGAACAATTTTTTTTTTATTATCATACCATTGAATGTTTGGAAGTCTCTGTTTTAATTTTTCAAAACGCAAATGGAATCTGGTTAGCTGAATACTATGTATTTTATATTAAGTCAGTTACTATTTTACTCTGAATGTATTTCCATATATCTCTATTGGCATAATTTTTTTTTTTTCAGAACCAGGGATTGAACTCAGGCCCTTGCACTTGCCAAGGAAGTGCCTATTCCACTGAGCCATCTCACTGGCCCCCATGGCATAATTTTTTACTACCTATTTTTTTCTTTTCTTTTTAAAAAAAAATATATTTGGTACAGGGTCTCACTATGCAGCTTGGACTCCTCATGATCCTCCTGTTTTTAGCCTTCCCAGTGCTGGGATTATAGGCATGCACCAGGGATCAAACTCCTGTCTCTGTGCTTGCCTAAGCAGGCACTTGTCTGCTGAGCTGTCTCACTGGCCCTGCTACCTATTTTTGTAGCATACTTTGTCCTTGTCCCTGTACAATAGTTAACACAGCACATTTATAAATAGTTGTATGACAGTCTTCAGGATCTGTCTCATACTTATAAATGTTGTATGGCTCATCACCTTTACATTGCTCTAGTGATTAAGATTATTGAATGCATAGCAAGTTTGTTGCTTCAACTGAAGTTTTTTTCAGCCATACTAAAACTTAAATATCCCATCAGACATTTTTACCACAATATTATCTATTGTTTATTTGTGGGAATATTTTAACGGGATTAAGAATCAGTATTTCTTATATCAATCACTGTTAGTCAGCTATTCTTGTTTTGAAAATCTGTAACATATGTATTGCTATATTTTACCCTGTTTCTATCTTTGCTTTTGTTTTTCTCACTCTTGTTTTTATTCTTCAAACTAAAAGAAAATTATAATAAAAATATTTCTTATAATGTTAACTGATATTTTAATCTTACCTTTCATAGTTTAATGTAAAATATATAATTAATGAAAAATAAGAACTATCCCCAATAAAGTTAAAGTTAAGAAATAGCATCCAAAATTTTTGTGTTTAGTCTGTGTATTCTCCATGTACAATTTTCTTAACTAAATTTTTCCTGTTTTAAAAAATTGACATGGACTAAAAAATACATGTTTTAGAATTACATCCACCCCAGGACATGTTTATGGTGTTTATAATGTTAGGTCATGTACAGGGAAGTTTATTGACATTTTCTTTTATAAGGGCACTGTCCTTATTATGAGATATGTGATCTCAAAATTTTCAATTTAAAATTTACTTTTTTAAAAGTGATTATATAAAAATTGGCATATATTTCTCAGTTCTATTCAAAATCTTTTCTCCATCTAGTTATAGAATAAATAACTTCTGATACACACCTTTTTTGTCTTTAAAATTGTGAAAGCGATGACCATTTGGTCAGCATAAAACTTTAGTGAGATATTTTTATTAGCTATCA